TTGAGGCAATCACTAGATACCTACACCTTGTAATTGGATACTAGCAACTTAAACGAACTTATTAAACCAATATTCACATTTTTCCTTTAGGGGGAATCGGTTCCCTACTAAGGGGGTATCGATTCCCTCATGACATTCTGGAAATTTTTTGTTCGTTTGAAGGGGTATCGGTTCCCCTTGAATGGGTACCGATTCCTCTTGCCCAGAAATCATATTTTTAGCTCGAAAATCACTTCATTTTCAGCTCAACACTTCATACTTCACTCCCTTTAATATTCCTAATTTTCATACACATACTTAAACTCATTTCTACTCCATAATCACTTCTTTAAACTCAAAATTCTATCATTTACATGGCATTCAAGAATCACACTAAATTTCCAACATGTTCTAAAACTCATTCTATCACTTCATATCTCCTAATTTAACCATTGACAAGTCAAATTTAACTTCCAATTTAAGAAATGAACTTTATTCCAAGATTTCATTTGTAAACTCTAAATCTTTATTCTCTCCTAACTCCACCATCCTTTGCTTTTAAGATGATTTAAGCTTTCCTTAAGCTTAGTTATCATCTAATAATTAAAACCCAACCTTAAAATCAACAATTCAATTATAAACAAAGAAACTTACCTTTGGCTCTTGGCTTCCACGTGAAGAAGAAGAAGAAAGGAGAAGAGAACTCTGGAGAATTCTCTCATTTTCCACGTGCATTTATCCTTACCAATCCCATTTTTAATTCATTTCTTGGTCAATTGACCCTTTTGCCCTTTATTTCCTTTAATAATTACTAAATAACCTTCATCATATATATCCAATAATCATTGAACTATTTCATTCTTATACTTTAGTCACCAAATTCTGAAACTTTACAATTTGGTCACTAACCCGGTATTGCGGATGTTACAAAACCACATCTCGACTGATCACAATCTTCTTATTGTCTGGATTGTACAGCTTGTAGCTTTTCAAATTTGCATCATAACCGATAAAGATAAAACTCTCGCTTTTATCATCAAGCTTCGTTCTTCTCTCGTCTGGTACGTGAACATGAGCTATACTTCCAAAGGTTCTCAAGTGGGAAATGCCAGGCTTTCTTCCACTCCATGCCTCTTGTGGTGTCTTTCCACATACACTTCTTGTTGGAGATCGGTTTGTCAAGTAGACTGCACACGCTACTGCTTCCGCCTAAAATTCATTGGGTAGTTTATTGCTTTTGAGCATGCTTCGTGCCATTTCAAGGATTGTTCTGTTCTTTCTTTCTGTTACACCATTTTGCTGAGGGGATCTAGGAACTGTCATTGGTCGACGAATTCCATTTGCTTCACAGAACTCTTAAAACTCTCTAGAAGTAAATTCTCCACCTCGATCAGATCTCATGGCTTTGATCTTTCTACCACTTTCTCTCTCCACTGCTGCTTTGAACTTCTTGAAGACCTCAAAAACTTCTGACTTCTGTTTCAAAAAATATACCCAGGGTTTTCTTGAAAAATCATCAATGAATAGAAGAAAATAGTTACTGTTACCAAGAGAGCTTGGCTTGATCGGTCCAAACACATCGGTATGGATGAGCTCAAGTGGCTTCTTGGCTCTTGTCTCTGACTCCTTTGGAAAGCTTTTCCTAAATTATTTCCCGACTAGACACCCTTCACAAAACTGGTTAGCATGGTTGATGGAAGGTAGTCCCTTCACCATCTCCTTCTTAGGTAGCATCTTTAGACCTCCAAAATTGAGATGTCCAAATTAAAGATGCCAAAGCCATGATGCATCTTTGTAGCAAGCTTTCAGGCACTTTGCAACATCATTTTGTATGTTGATCAAGAACATTCTATTCTTTGACATCGACACTTTAACATTGAAGTTATTATTATCATCTTTTATAGAAAGATTATAATTATTCATATGAATATCATAACCTTTCTCTACCAATTGCACTAAACTTAAGATGATACTTTTCATATTGGGCACATAGTAGGCATTTGAAATAAATTAATGTCTCCCATCTTTCAAACGGATAAAGATGTTACCTCTTCCTTTCACTGCTCTTGTGGAATCATCTCCAAACGAAACATTTCCGCTTACTGACTCGTCTAGCTCCACGAACATGTCTTTCCTTCTACACATGTGATTGCTTGCACCACTGTCAAGATACCATGAATTTGCTTGGCCACCATCAGCTTCCTTTCGTACTAGAAGAAGTGTTTCTTTTCCATCTATCTTCTCCTCTACGTAGTTGGTCTTCTCCTCAATTTTTGTTGTTGGGAGCTCTACATTCTGAAGCATAATGCCCAAACTTCTGACAATTATAACATCGAACTTGAGATTTGTCATATCTTGAGCTCGGATTGATTCTTCCACGGCCTCGTGTTGATCTTTCTCCTTTCTCATAGTTGTTATTGGAATTGTTGTTGTTGTAATTCCAACCTCGTCCACGTCCGTGACTTCCACCTCGTCTATGGCCTCTACCTCTGCCTAGGCCATGTTGGTTTCTATCATTGCGTTGGGTTTCATGCATATCTTTGAGTTGCAACTTGAGGAGTTGCTCAGTAAACCCATGCTTCTTCTTATGCTTTTCTTCGTATGCTTGCAATGATCCTTGGAGTTGCTCGATCGTCATTTCTTCCAAGTCTTTAGTTTCTTCAATCGTCACGACGATGTGCTCAAATTTGGGATCCAACGAACGTAGTATCTTCTCTATTATCCTTACATCTTTTAACTTTTCACCATTTCTTTTTAATTGATTAGAACAACTATTACTCTTGAGAAATAATCTATAATAGACTCAGATGTTTTCATGTGTAAGGATTCGAATTCACCTCTTAATGTTTGGAGATGGACATTCTTCACTTGCTCAGATCCTTTGTAAGAGGTTTGTAGTTTCTCCCACGCTTCCTTGCTAGAGCTTGCATTCGAGATCTTTTCAAAACCATCATCATCTAATGCTTGATAGATGAGGTAGAGAGCCTTCTTGTCTCTCTTTCTTGAATCCTTCAAAGTTGTCTTTTGATCTGGTGTAAAAGTAGCAAAAACATCATCATCTGCAGGCTCGTTATAGTCTTTCTCTATGATATCCCACACATCTTGTGATCCAAGAAGTGCCTTCATTTTGATACTCCAGTTGTCGTAGTTATTGTTGTTGAGTGTTGGAACTTGGAATGATGCCATATTATTTGCCATATCTCTCAATATAATGAGAATTTGCAAAATCCGATTGCACGAATAAATCCGGAACACCGAAAAACCTTGGGACGGACTTAGACAACTCAGTAAAGGGGCTCAAACTATGCTGACTCGGCGAGTCAACACGATTTTCTGGCAGCAGTCTTCCGGCGGTGCGTGGCGGCGCCTGAGAACTCAGATTGGGAAGATTTTAGCAACTTCGGATTCCTCTCGTCGATACCTTCGATCTTTCCAACTTGTTCTTATGCTACTTTGTTGGAAATGAAACACTCACACAAACAACTTTTATTGAAACTCAAACAAATATTACAAGAGCACTCTCACTCAAAAACAAGAACTACAACTCACTCTTATAAGACTTTGCTTCTTTACTCACTTAGAAGCTCTTAATTTTTCTTGATGCTTAAACAAAAATGGGGAGGGGTATTTATGCTACTCAAGAACAATCATACTCCACACAAATAAAATAATTTAAATCATTAAAGTCTACAAATACTTAACTCTCACCTAACTAAATTGATGTGAGCAATGATATCTTCATCTAATTGATGTAAGCAATGATATCAATTTAATTTGGGTTTAAGTTTAGGCTCCCATAATGGATCAAATTTATGATCGAACAATCTCATCATGCCATGCCACTCCTCTGTCCTCTCCGCTTGTTTTATTTCCAGGACATGAGCACGCAACAACCATAGTTCTTAAGGCTGCTGCAAACAACCATCATTTGTGCGACGAAAATGAAACAGCTAGAGAGATTTGGCCAAACGTCTGCATGATATTTTATTAGGAAATAATAAGAATAAAATTTATTAAAATATTGATTTTTAATTCATAAGAAATGAAATGCAGTATACAAACAACATTATTAATTATAATTATGAGTATGAGACGCGTGGGGATATTAGAAGCAAATGTGAAGCAGATGGGACCAAAGGGGGCGACGTGGTGGGTTTTTTTTTTTTTTTTCAATTGTCTGATTTTAAACATTCCAATTGTCTTATTTCAAGACAAATCTAATCTAATCAAATTTTTTAATTTTTTTCAAATTTAATTATAAATATTTATAATGTTTATGACATGGATTATTTCAATCTAACAACCTTTTGTAACTATAATATATGTATAGATATTTTTTTCATATTGCAGTGTCATTTAAAAAATTAAATACCATATAAAACTATGAAGGTATTTTGGAAAAAAATACTGACGAGAAAATAAAAGAGTTAAAAAATTGATGAGAAAAAAGAATTTTAAAAAATAAATAAAATGCAACATTGAAGATTAAATTACAAAAAGAGTGAATTTGTTGTTAAAAATGAAAACCGAAGTTATATAGATATTCTATAGAGTTACAATAGCATGTGATTTAACTTTGGTAAAAAAAATATACTTCAAATGATAAAATAATTACGAGTATAACATGTGATTTAACTTTGATAAAAAAATATACTTAAAATGACAAAATAATTACGAGTAAGGGGGAATTAAAAATGAGTATTTGAGTTAGTTGAGTTGACCAATCATATTTTACAATTTTAATTCTATTTTATTTTTATCGAGCTAGATTTTTTTAATCGAATCAAGTTTTGTTTACCCTAATTTCATTAAACCCAAAAAAAAGGACCTTTTTGTGACGTTTTTAAAAGATGGAGCTTTTCTAGTTATTTGTCCTAATGCTTAAAGCTGTTTCCTTGGGGAACCCCTATATTATTTTCCAAATTAGAAAAAAAAAACAGGTGTGAAATTCGTTTTAATAGAGTAAAAAAAATCAATTACAGTTGGACCTCCCTAAGAATTAATTCTTTAATCCAACTGACGACCTACCACCATCTCTCTCTCTTTCTCTCCCTTCCTGCAACTATTTCATTTCCACAACCTTCCAAACAAAGAGAATTTATGGAAACTGAGATTCACAACGTTTATTATTCTCCTCTTCCATGTTTATAATAAAACACAAGACCCTGGTTATTGGGTGTCTCTTGCTTTCTGAACTCCAAAATATGGTTATGGCAATAACCGTTGATTCTTCCATCGGAAAGATCTTGTTCACCCATGGCTCATGTTGAGTTCAGGACTAACCGGGGAATTCGTTATCAATATAAATATCAGAAGCATCTTCTTCTTCCTTTTCCTTGTTATAATCGAAGCCGGGTGTTCGTGTTTCTGGGTTGCCGGATAAGACCATGGTTCCTGCTGAAAACCTTCCTAAAAAACATTACCTTCCTCACGGCGGCGGCGGCGATTTTTATGGTTGTTGTGGCGGCGGCAGTATATACAGGGAGAGTTTTGGCCTTATGAGTCGTCTTCGTGGGTATGATTTTCACACCGAAGCTTGCTTAGGAATAGGATCTGATCTAGAAGCTAACGACATGGATGAAGATGAATCGAGAACTAATAATAGAAATGAGGCGGGCTCCAACTCCAAGGATAATATCCATCAAGAACTGGAACTAGAAAGAGATGAAGGTTGGCTCCAACTCAGTATAGGGGGTCAAGATCAGCCAACAATATATGATCACAACAAGCACGAGCAAGGCGATCCAACGGCCAGAAGAGGAGAGTTGTTTGAGCTCGATCTATTACCCGGTGGTAGCTCGCAACAACCGAGGCCATTAGCCCCTATCTTTCATATGCCCGAGTTTCGAGCACCACCGCCGCTCATGCATAGTTTTAGTACATCTTTATTTTATCAACATCAACAACAAGGGAGCAGCTCCATGTTTAGGCCGATACCGCAAAATATACCACCAGCTCCTTCGGCCTCCTCATCTTCTTCTTCTTCTTCTTCTTTGTTGCCATTCGGGTCCTATTTTGGCGGACCATTTCAGGTGCAATCCGAAATGCATGTTGCAGGGCCGACCTCGGATGTTACAATCATTGATCCACCTAGAAGACCCCATTCTGGCATTTGGTTTGTGCTACAAGCATCACAAAATCAGTAAGTTGCTCAAAACAAGGACAATAGTTGCATCACCTTTTCTTTTTTCCTTCAAAAGTTCTGCTGAAATTCACTTTCTTTTTTCTCAGAGCAAAAGAACCGTTCCTGCCTCAGATTCCAAAGAGCTACCTGAGAATCAAGTAACAACGCTTATCCCTTTGTTTTACTGCAAATTTACCCCTTTCTACGTACTTATTTCGTGTTTTTTGTCTTCATTTTTGTTTGAATCTCCAGGGACGGGAAGATGACAGTGCAGTTACTAATGAAGTATCTGGTTAACAAGCTGGTACTGGAAAGCGAATCAGAGGTATTTAAACAAAAACACTTAAATGCAACTCCCTTTATTTAATTTTTCATTTTACGACCACATCTCTTCTGCTTTAGATTACCAAAACAGCCAAAAAGAGAAAATCAACCCATCTCTTTAACCAGAAAATTTCTTACACGATATTATAGGACTTGGTTGGTGCTAAGACATGACAGAAACACCAGAACTAAATGCATGTTTTTTTTTTCTTTTCCTATATTTATATTTAGGTGGGAAGTATATATATTATTGTTGCGGAAGACGGCTTATCGGATAGAGCAAAATCGCAACTGATAATTTGAGAAAATAAAAATGAAGATAAAAGAGACACAAAATTTACGTGGAAAATCCCTAAAAATTTAGGGTAAAAACCACGGGCAACGGTAGAATAATTTCACTATGAGAAAATAGGAATTACAACCTCTCTCGATTTACCAATGAGAAAACAATGATAATTCTCTCTAAATAAAAAGGAGAAAACAACTCTCAAGAAACTCTCCAAAATCTCTCTAGTATTGGAAGAAAGCTAGAATGCTTTGGGATAGTTTTGAAGCTAAATGAGTTAGGGTATTTATAGTTGAAGCTTTAAGGACTAATTTGTAAATACCCTAAATTACAATGACTAATTGCATAGTTTTACCATCCAAAATTTTCAACAATTTTGTGGCCAAATTTGACCAATTTTGCCACCCCATTAATGCCACCAAATTGCCACCCATAATGTTGACAATTGAAGCAATTTGGTGTGCCAATTTTCAACAATCTCCCACTTGAAGATTTGATTGGAACAATCATATCTTCACACCATTCTTTCTACCTTGTACCTTTCATGTTGCTTACGTTTCTGACAGGCCACAGGAGGATCGACACCAGGTAAATTTATCAGTATTGATTGCCTTCGTCATGAAATCTGCTATGTTGTCTTTGGTATGGATTTTCTGCATATCTACCGTTCCTTCTTCCACCTTTTCACGAATGAAATGGTACTGAACTCGTATGTGCTTAGTCCTTGAATGAAATGTTGGATTCCTTGCTATATGCAAGACGCTTTGACTGTCACAAAACAGAGAGACATACTCTTGATTGTGCCCAAGCTCCTCCAATAGCATCTTCAACCAAATTGCTTCTTTACTTGCTTGTGTAGCTGCTACATATTCTGTCTCTGTTGTGGATGTAGCCACAACTGACTGCAATTTTGAAACCCAGCTTACAGCTCCACCAGCAACTTTGAACACATATCCTGTAGTAGATTTGCTTTTATCCAAATCCCCTGCATAGTCAGAATCTACATACCCATTGATTAGTAAGTTTGATCCTCCGTAACATAATGCAACATTTGAGGTCCCTTTGATGTATCTTAGGATCCTCTTTACAATATTCCAATGCTCTTTGCATGGATTCGCCATGTACCGACTAACCACTCCCACTGCTTGTGCAATGTCTGGTCTTGTGCATATCATAGCGAACATTAAACTTCCCACTGCTGATGCATACGGTACTCGAGACATCTCCATCATCTCTTCTTCACTGCTAGGACTCATATTGGAGGATAATTTTAAGTTAATAGGAAGAGGGGTAGAAATTGGCTTACAATCTTGCATGCTAAATCGTGACAAGAGTTTCTTCAAGTAATTCTTTTGTGAAAGCCAAATATTCCTATTACTTCTGTCTCAGTGAATTTGCATCTCTAGAATCTTGTTTGCTGATCCCAAGTCCTTCATTTCAAATTCCCTAGCCAGTTGTGCCTTCAATTCTTCAATATGATCTTTGTTGGGTCCTGCAACCAACATGTCATCCACATACAACAACAATATAACAAAATCGTTATCACCAGACCTCTTGAAATAAGCACAAGGGTCTGCATTAAGTCTGTTGTATCCAAGGCACATAATGAAGGAATCAAATCTCTTATACCAACACCTCGGCGCCTGCTTTAGACCGTACAAAAGATTTGTTCAACCTGCAAACCAAGTTCTTCTTTTCGTCTTCTTCAAAACCTTCAGGTTGGAGCATATAAATCTCTTCTTCAAGATTTCCATGAATAAAAGCTGTTTTAACATCTAGTTGCTCTAGATGTAAGTTCAATGTAGCACACATTGCCAAAACTACTCGAACTGTTGTTAGTCGAACCACAGGAGAAAATATTTCATTGAAATCAATACCTTCTTTTTGAGCATATCCTTTGACCACCAGTCTTGCACAATACCTCTCAACTTGATCGTCACCATTTCGCTTGATTTTGAAGACCCATTTGTTACCAATTGGCTTCTTTCCTTGTGGTAGTGGCACAAGGTCCCATCCATTATTTTTATGAAGGGCTTCGATTTCTTCTTGCATCACCATCATCCACAGTGAAGCATTTGAGCTGTTTATTGCCTCCTGGTATGTTGATGGCTCGCCGTCCTCTGTTAAAAAGGCAGTATGCAATATTACCTTCTATAACATAATCTGAGTGCCAATTGGGACGTCTTCTCACACGATTTGATTGACGAGTTGTTGGAGCTTCAGAACTCTCTGGTTCTTGTTCATCATGTGTTGGTTCTGCTTCAGAAGAATCTCATTCTTCAAACTCTTTTTCCACATGTATCTGAGTAGTCTCTGACTTTTCAGCGCTATCATCGTTTTCTTTTCTTTGTAGTTTATCTTCTACAAAGATAACATCTCTACTAATGATCACTTTGCGGACATTGGGATCCCACAAGCGATACCCCTTTACTCCATCAGCATACCCCAAGAATTTGCATTTCCTGGATTTTGGATCCAACTTTGAAATTTCTTGGGAGTTATACATCAAGTACACTATACTTCCAAATATATGGAGGTTTGAATAATCAGCTGGTTTTCCACATCTTCATTGGTGTCTTCAGCTCTATTGCAGTTGATGGAGCTCGATTCACCAAATAACAGGCGGTATTGACTGTTTCTGCCCAGAATGATTTTTCTAGGCCTGCATCCCTCAACATTGCTCTTGTTCTTTCTAACAAGGTTCTGTTCATCCGCTCTGCCACTCCATTTTGTTGAGGAGTGTTCGCCACTGTGAACTGTCTTTTGATGCCTTCTTTCCTGCAAAAGTCATCAAATTCTTCGCTTGTGTATTCTCCTCCATTATCTGTTCTGAAACACTTGATCTTATTTCCAGAATCAAGTTCCACCCGTGCTTTGAAGTTTTTGAAAGTTGAAAACACGTCTGACTTCTTCTTAATAGGGTGCACCCAACATCTCCTGGAGTAGTCATCAATAAATGAGAAAAAGTATTTTGCTCCACCTAGGGACGTTACTGGTGCTTGCCATACGTCAGAGTGAACCAATTCTAGAACACTTTTGCCTCTAGAATTTGATGTGTTGAATTTCAACCGGTGCTGCTTACTTGTTATGCAATGCTCACACAAAGGAAGTGATACATTTGTTAAACCTGGAAGTAGCTTTTGCTCCACAAGGAATTTCATTCCTTGTTCTGACATGTGTCCAAGTTTCTGATGCCATAGCATTGCCGAATCTAAACTACATGAGGCAACAGAGGCTTCTGCTTCTACCAAAGTCTCTCCCTTCAGCATGTACAAGTTTGCAGCTATTTTTTCGCCTTTCAGTACCACAAGCGCTCCACGGAACACTTTCATGATTCCTTTCTGTGTTTCAATCTTGCTTGCATTATTATCCAACAATCCGTAGGATAATAAATTTTTCTTCAGGCCTTTCACGTGCCGCACATCTCGAACAACTTTAATTGTTCCGTCATACATCTTCAATTTGATGGTTCCCACGCCAACGATCTCAAAGGCATGATCATTGCAACTATAAACAGATCCTCCTGAGACAGGTTCATAATGATGGAACCATTCTCTTCTTGAGGTCATGTGATATGTTGCTCCCGAATCAATGAGCCATATATTTGCAAATCGTTTTCTTCCTTCCACGATGGTTGACGCTTCACAGCATAGAGCATCTCCATCATCTGAAGTGTTTGCGGTATTGTCTTGTGGATTGGAGTTTTTATTTAGACTCCAACAATCCTTCTTCAAATGACCCTTCTTTCCACAGTTGTAACACTTTAAATTCTTCTTGCTCCTCGACTTCGATCTACCATGTTTGTGACTGCTGCTTTGGCCACGTTCTGTTGATCTCCCTCTCATCGTTGTCATCGTTGTCAATGCTTCTTCTTGTTGCAGATTTACTCGTCTGTCTTCCTTGTTCTTGCACCGATTTTCTTCTTGTAGAACAGCAGCTGCAACATCATCAAAGACTAGACTAGTGACATTACTGTTTGTCAAGTTGATGATGAGTTGATCATACGAATCCGGTAGACTTTGAAGTAGAAGTTCAACACGTTCTTGTTCTCCTATTTTACAACTTAAGGATGTAAGCTGAGAAAAATAAAGTATTCAGTTTATTTAAGTGCTCCGTCACTGAAGTAGATTCTGGCATACGGAGAGTGTACAATTTTCTCTTAAGGAAAATTTTATTGTGTAGCGATGTGGCCTCGTACAATTTGGTGAGATGGTCCCATATCTCCTTAGATGTATTCTTCTCCTCGATGCTTGACAATACTTCATTTGCTAATGCTAGATAAAAGTTTGCCATAGCATTCCCGTCTATTTCGATCCATTTGTTGTCATCTGTGAAATATACTGGCCTTTCACTGATAGTTGCTAGACAACCGTCTTTCCTCAGGATGACCTTCATCTTCAATTTCCACAATGAGAAATTTCTCCCATTGAATTTTTCAATATCAAATTTCGTTGCCATAGCTTCTATTATTGATAGCTCCCACTATTTCACTATCGTGAATAGTTCTTTAGAACCTCAAAGAATGGGTAATACCTTCTTATTTTCTTATGTTGGATGATCCACCTTTTGGTGGCAACTACAAAGACAATAAGCAGATATTACACACTCAAATATGGCTCGGATACCAATTGTTGCGGAAGACGGCTTATCGGATAGAGCAAAATCGCAAGTGATAATTTGAGAAAATAAAAATAAAGATAAAAGAGACACAAAATTTACGTGGAAAACCCCTAAAAATTTAGGGAAAAACCACGGGCAACGGTAGAAGAATTTCACTATGAGAAAATAGGAATTACAACATCTCTCGATCTACCAAGGAGAAAACAATGATAATTCTCTCTAGATAAAAAGGAGAAAACAACTCTCAAGAAACTCTCCAAAATCTCTCTAGTATTGGAAGAAAGCTAGAATGCTTTGGGATAGTTTTGAAGCTAAATGAGCTAGGGAATTTATAGTTGAAGCTTTAAGGACTAATTTGTAAATACCCTAAATTACAATGACTAATTACATAGTTTTACCATCCAAAATTTTCAACAATTTGGTGACCAAATTTGACCAATTTTGCCACCCCATTAATGCCACCAAATTGCCACCCATAATGTTGACAATTGATGTAATTTGGTGTGCCAATTTTCAACAATTATTTCTAGGGTACCCTTTTTCTAATGGAATATTCATTAGCCCTTTAACCCGTAGTTTTTGGCTCTAAAGATTGCCTAAATGTTTTAAACATTAAGGTAAACAGTCTTGTAAAATGGTTATGAGGCTCTTCTGGTTTTAGCGACTGGATTAAAGGCGTAGGGTTTTTGTTTTCGGCCTTAAAGGCCTGAATTATTGGGTTTGCTTTCACACCATAAGCTTACTGAAAATAACAGTGTGATCTATGACCATCGGTATAGTAAAACAAGCAAAAGCATACTATAATTTTAGGATGATCAGCCTGTAATATCTAGACCTCTTGCCACCCATAAATAAAAGGATATTCAGTGTTTAGAATATCTGTATTTCTCACCATAGATGATATTGAACGTTTAAACATATTAGGTTCTATATTCTCTCGTATAATATATCGACAGTGATGCCCAACTAAATTAAACTTAATTATTTCGAATCGATATTTTACTTTAGGCATGAAAATGGGAGAATCACCTAGGACAAAGACAAGACGCAGATCATGAGTTTACTGGTTGAATCCTTGATTAGCTAGCTAGGGTTACATTACATGCTCTAGTCTTATGATACCAAAACATATATATGTATACCTAGGGTTACATTTACATGCCCTAGTCTTATAATATCAAAACATATATATAGGTAGCGGATAGAATTGAGATAAAAATGGATCAAATTGTTTAACTTCAAACTCAAAAAGATTTAATAGTATTTAAATAAAAAAGATTAAAGTTTAATTTATCTAATTTTAAAACTATCACAAACATGGACAGACGTAAAATTTCATGATAGTAAGGGGTTGTTTGTTTACTTCAGAATGACTAAGCGCTGAATGATTCAAATGTTGAATGATTCAGAGGTTCTGTATGAATTAGCTCGGTATGAATTAGCTCTGAATGTGACATGCTGTTTAATAATGGCTCTGAATCATTCAGAATGTACTTTGATGCTGAATCATTTAGCACTGAATCATTCAACACTGAATCATTCAGAGGTGCGACACAAACGCGCTGAATGCTGAACCGTTCAGCATTCAGCGCTAAATGGTTTCATTCAGAGCCAAACAAACAGCCCCTAAGAAAAACTTTTAAAATTTTAGGAATGGATAGACTTATAAAATTCTAGGAAAATAAAAATAAATTATCAATAGTAAATATAAAGAAAAAAATCTAAAATATAGTTAAACATTTTGCTTCTTTTTATTGTTGTGTTTCGGGTACTCCAAGCCATGTTCACAAAATATATGCCCACAATGGATCAGTGATAACCAATCCTTCTCCCTATTCCATTAGATTAAGAGCTTTGGTAGTTAACATTAATTGGAGCTTCCTTCTTTTGTCCTTTGCGTCCCCCATAGTATAATTTCTGGTCTGTTTGCCTTCCAACATATAAAATATCTAAACCATGTTAGCTTCGACTTCCTGTTTTGCTGTACCAGTATCAATTATATATATTCTAGTCTTATATATATCTATAGGTCAACTCTAATGCCATGGAATCGATCTATATATAAATACTTGTATTATTATTATTATTATTATTATTATTATTATGACTTCCCGTCTATAGTTGTTTCGGTCAACAGATGCCATTGATTTGGAAAAATTCTTCACAACCGCCAGATGATATGGCATCTCCCGTGTCATGTATATATGGTATAAAATCAAGTGTTATGGTCGTTTAGGAATAATATTGATTGGAGGAGGATGGTATTATATAAGGTGTAATTACATCGTAGGGCAATGGGAATCACACGTGGACCCTGTCATTCTCAAAACCTCCTCATCTGCATGCGCTATCGCTCCTTTCGTCATGCTTTCGCTTCTTCAATCTCAGCTTCCACACAGCTCCCTCTTCTTTTTTGGAAGTATGGTCGAAAATTCAAAAGGAAATCGTAAGTGCACCACTTGGATGGCGTTTTAAAACCCCATCATCACACCACGACCAACCACAATATACATTAAAAAAGACAGCCCCACGTATTTTACGTCGGGGGAAAGCGATGCATGAGGGATACTTCCACAACAGAATATCATCCCTACTTGTTGAAAAAGAACAAAAATATAACAAATAAAAGAATGAAAAGACAAATGAAGAGCCTCCCCATGAAAATGATTTGTTTATTGTTGGTAAACTCAGTTCATGCAGCATGAAATACTAGGGTTTTTATTTAACTTTCATGTTTTTTTAAAAAATTGAATTTAAGGATAATAATAACTCTTATAAATTTCATGTTAACTTTATTTGATATTTGATTAATTCAATTAATTATTTTATCTATTTGTTTTAATAAAAATCTACTGGATGAATGATTTTGCCTTAGGAGTATAGTCAAGGTGGGTGCCCTAATGATTATTTCGGGCAGCTAAGATAGTGGAAATGACGGGCAGGGTTTGAAGTTTAGAAGGCCGATATCCATGCCTGACCGATGACCTAAGTTGTATTTTTCAATTTTTTAGGTCATTAGAGTGATTAGTATGAAAAGTTTGAGAGAGGAATATTTTATGGGTAAAGTATAAGTTTCAAAGAATGGGGGATAGCACATAGCATGGACAAACACGTAGGCCACTGACAAAGCATGACTTCACCACTACATGTATATCACTAAACCAAACAACAATAATAAAATATAAATTAGAAAAAAAGGTAAACTACTTATTTGGCCATCCACATATTACTTAGTTTCTGTTTCAGTCACCTAGTTATTATCTTTTTCAAAATCATGCCTAACGTTATGTTTTGCTTCTATTTTGGTCATCCATCGTTAGAAAATTAACAATGATGTTAATGTCATTATAAGATAATATCACGTTGGTATTAAAAGATAATTAAACAAATGTCATGTCAGCATCACCGTTACTTTTTTAATAATAGGTGGTCAAAACAAATTCAAAACGTAACATTAGATATGATTTTGAAAAGAAAACTAAGTAATAGATGGGTGATTAAATAGGTAGTTCGTCCCAAAAATTATCCAACTCTCAGTATGCATAAATTATGTCTGATTATATTTTATAATGATTAATTTTGAATTTAACATGTCTAAGTGTGTATTATTTGTGATTATACATAGTACTTGTAACTTCAAAAGTACCTACATAGTTTGGTGTTGATGATAAAAAAGCAGGTAGAGATAACATGCAGAAGGCAACAGCTTCAACCTTGCTTGACGTTGCAGCAAGTAAGAGATGAAATATGGAGTTCAAGGGACGCAGTGACTTTGCTTCCACATACCTCAACAGCTGATCATCTCATGGTTTTGCACTATGGCAGAAGCCCTAATTCAATCTTTCACCTTTAAACACATCTTTTTCCCCCCATGATTTAAGCTCCTACGTTGATGTTATGTATCATTCTTATTTACTCTTTTTTTTTTAAAACAAATCTCTAATTGTTGGAGAAAATAGCTTGGTTGGTGGCCTGAAATAGCGAGGGCAAATAACGTAAGCAAATTGTATTTTTCTGAGTTTTGCTGGCTTTCATATTTATAAGGGTAAACTTAATGTTTAGTACTCTAAATGTCATTTTTGTTTTGTTTTAGTCACCTAACTATTTTTATTTTTAAATTAGATATAACATTACGTTTTGATTTCATTTTGGTCACCCGCTGTTAAAAAATTAACAGACTGTTGATGTGACATTTTTTTTAATTGATTAATAACATGACAATATCTTATGGTGACATATCACAAGTACTATAAATGTTTTAACAATGAGTGACAAAATGTAATCAAAACGTAAACTTAGATATGATTTTGAAACAAAAAAATAGTCAAGTGACTAAAACAGAACAAGAGTGACTGTTAAGGTATTAAATGTGTAGTTTACCCTATTTTTAATTATTATCATTTTGTGTCAACTTGTACAAACTTCATTGATTAATCTACTAATTAATCCATTTCCCCATACATAAACTCTTGTCTTAATTTATTATCTTCATCTCCAATCAGGATTAAGTAAACGTATTGGGAAATAGTTTATTTCATCGATCGTAATATGGAGAGGTTTATTTATATTTATTTATTTATATAACAATGCATTTTAATAGGAAATTGCTTATTATTTGGTTCTCAACCGCCCTTATTTGGTCATCTTGCTCGGACATTTTACTTGTATTAGAATGATTACAAAAAATTTATAGGGTAGAGTGTTACTTTGTTGAGTCTTGACTATTAAAAGTTACAAAAATGATCATCCGATTATAAGAAGTTGTTTTGTTGAGACCCTCAACTATTAAAAGTTACAAAATAGCTATTCGACTATTCATATGTTCTAAATTCTTCCTTTCTATTAAAAAATTGAAGACTATATGAGTTAGACGTTAACACGCTCACTGGGATATGGTAAAAATATAATTCCAAAACTATTTCAGTTGTATTTTGTGGATTGAGTCTATATTTACATGATATAATGGAGCCAACTCTTGAAACATTATGTTGTCGGGCTAATATTTGAAAGCAATGACGATGCCAATAGACATTATTAAAGTATGATTTTATCATATCTCAGACAGTAGATTAATGTCTAGATCGTTGACCATCAAACTTTTAACGAAAAAAGACGAGTTTGAAAAATATGAATAGTCAAGTGATCATTTTGTAACTTTTAATAGTCGAGGAACTTAACAAAGCAACATGAGGACCATTTTGTAACTTTTAGTAATCGATAGACTCAATAAAATAATGTTTTATAGTTGGAGGACCATCTGTATACATTACCCAAATTAGTATTTTGATTATGAACCCTTCTAGTGGAGAGATCTTGTAACTTATGTTGAAACCTTTTAAAAGAGATCTTTCTACTTCTTTTTTAAAAAATTGGTAAGTTAAGTGCATTGTTAAATGTTTGATAGGTTATTTTAACTATTAATTAAATTATATCTTAGTTTAATTTTAAAATTAAAGATTATTGGGTGATTAAGTTATTCAAATAATATTGGGTAAATACAAGACAATATTTGTTCAAAAACTCTCAACCATTTAACTATGAACATATAAAATATGAAATATAAAATACTTAACCACTGAGGTCAATTGGTTCATGTTTATGAAATATAAATTTTGATAATCAAATATTTAAGTCTATAAATATAAAATATGTCTTAATTTTTAAAATTATGAGAGAAGATTTTGAAAAAAGATATAATTATTATGAGATTTTAATTTGATAGATAGTTTTATAGAGATGTGAGAATTTTAGTAAAATATATTAGATTTTAAGATGTAAAGAATATATATATATATATATATATATATATTCATTATTATTTACATTCAAAGTCGTCTCTCATGGATTCAGTTAAAAAAAGTTACTTTTTAAATATAGTTTCTTCTTCTTCTTCTTCTTTTTTTATGTAGTCGTTAGTTTTATTTTTCATCTTTATAACGAAGACGATATTAGTTTTAGTGTTAATTGCCGACCACTGATATTCATTATTTTTTCTTTATTCTATTATGATGTGTCTTTATTTTTTTTAATTTTTAATAATTCTTCCTCTAGGACATGTTTTCTTCTGGCTTTTGACATGTTTTCGATCATTTGTTATCATGTTGTTCTTCTCTGTTTTAGACCACCAGATTGGATTTGGATACGTTATTTATGTTCGTGGATAATTTTCTCACGTCGCTTAGTTCTGATTTGCGATTTGTCGGTGGTCTTTTAGTAATTTGATCTCATTTTGTGGTTCGTTTGCCGATATAGTTAGATCTATTCGTACTACCTTTTATTGAGTTTTTTTTTGTTAGGTTTTTAACATTTTCCTTATATGATCTTGTGATCTTAAGTAACTTGTTTCTTGTACTAATGATTATATAAAAATGTTCTTATTATGTGTTTTAATTTACTGTTGTAGTTGCCAACTTTCATTGTAATTTAATTATTTTTTTATTTTTAATAAAACTAATGATTTCTAAATGTTAGAAGAATTTGATGACGACAAGATGACTTTAAAGTACAAAGTTTTGGAGTAAGATTTACCTTCTTCAATCATAAAAAAGAATGGACTCGCGCACCTTCTTTCATAGTATTATAAAGGATAAAGTATATTAGAGGTCACCTAATTATGTCTAAACTGATCATTTGGTCAATAAACTTTTGAAAGTTATAAAATAATAATTAAACTTAAGATAATTATAAATTTCATCACTCAATTTTTTCTCACTTGTATTTTGATCACTAAAGTTTAAAAGTTTTCAATTTAATCATCACTCTTTCAAATTTCTCTTGTTTCCCTCATTCCAACATTAAATAATTAACGATGTTATAACATGACATATGACACCAAAACGGTGTCATTAAATAAAAGCTAAATTTACACCAAAATATAGTTTTGGATCCATATAAAACCCAATTTTCCATGCTTTCTTAATTTTCATCATTTATTTTTTCCTCTTATTTTCTCTCCATCTGCCCAGATTTGAACCACCTCTCGTTGTGATCAACCACCATTGGCCATCGTTAACGATGACCAAGAGTCTTAAAATTTTCTACTTATCAAACTCGTTTTCCCTCTTAAATGTGAATTTTATCTTCTTCTTTTTTAAATAGATGTGACCTCAATAAAAAATTCGTTCATACTCAACACTCGATGTGAGATAGTCAAAGGGAAAAAAGAGTACCCAAAGATTTTATTAACTTAAAAGACAACTTGGAATCCTTACAAGCAAAGAACTCAAAATAATAATAAATGAACAGAGCTGAAGCCTATAATCAAGGAATTCAGGCATCACAAACCCACAAAGCCTTCACTTTGACGCTCATCTACATACCTCTAACCGGAAAATACTATAAACTCCATGAATCTAGCCTCGAATACTTCGATTTTTAATTCTTTGGTCTTCTTCGTTTACTGTTAGATCACACTGATTCCAAAGTATGTGCTTCTTCATTGTGTCTTCTACCCTCTCACTGTTGGGACCGTCTAACAAATTGTTGTTGTGGTAGTGCCATCACCATTTGTGATAGAGAACAAAAGTTGTTGTGGTAGTGCCTCCACCAATTGTGGTTTCATTTCAAGTTCCACCTCTTACTTTTCTATCTTCCTTAATTTCAAGATACGAGTAAGCTTATTTCATCAATACTTATCCCTCAAATCGTTAATGGTCGAATGAATTTTCCTATTTTCCATTTCCCCTTTTCTCGTTATCTTAAAACCATTGCTACATGTAACGCTTTCATGCTTTTACAGGGAAATCAAGAAAAGTGCAATCTCTTTGATAATGTTGGTGAAGCTTTGACTTCGCTCAATAAGATAATTAAGAAGTACACACAACCTTCGATTGTTGAATTCACTAAATTATTAAGAGCCGTTATTAGAATGGAATACTATGCATTGTTGTCTCTATGTGTAGCCATGGAATTATTGAGAGTTCCTACAACGTTTAATCTTTGAACATTTTGATTAATTGTTTTTGTTAACTAGGTCAAACGGGTTTTCTGGTATGTGATGTTTCGGAGGAGGCAAGGGCAGTTGATGTTGAAGATGGTAATGAAATGGGTCGTGGGCAACAAGGGCAGTGGTTGTTGGGGGTAATGATGGAGATAAGATGATCTAATAATTGGTTGATAGTGAATGATGGTGTCGAGGAAATAGCTCGTTTCAGGCACCGGTAAAGGCTGATGAACTGATTTCTCTTTTAAATTTAAGTGAAACATATGTCAAGTTCGAACTTAAAGGATCAATTTAAGGCAATCTAAAAAAATTGGGTCTAACGAGATCGACGCAATGGCCGTTCACATCAAACGGTGCTTGGAATGTGAACTAGTGTCTACATGGCTCAAAAATTAATAAAAAAAAAGTGAAGTCAACACAGAGTTAGAATATAAATGGTCAGGTGAATAAAACACGAGTAATTCAAAAGTTCAATTATTAGATTAAAAATTTAAACTTTAAAGGTCAAATAGAAGTGATAATAAAGTTAAGTGATGAAATTTGTAATTTTGACATGATACAATTACATACATAAAATTAATTTTTTATTCAATTATACATATAATATTATTTTAAAAAATATTTTAAAAAAATCATCTTATCAACTTATTTTTATATTGGATTAATATAATTATGTCTCATTCCCAATATTAATAGTATAGGGCCCATGCATGTTAACAAGTCTAGCCAGCTTGTTTCCTTTCAGCTATGTGTGTATGTTAAGGTTTGCATTTGCTTCAACGAGACACAAGCTCAATAATATTCCTTGGCTCACACAAGAAGGCAAAATAATTTTTTTTACTTTAGTCCTACGCATTTGAAATCAATTTGTCTTCAATTCTGTGGGGTTCTTTCCCCATACTGTTTCTTCTTCTTTTATCAGTGTTCCTCTCGGCCCATGTGCAACTTACAAGGAACATACATTATTCAGTTGAGAGTGGCGCTATAATAGATTCAAATGGAATGCATTAATGTCACTGC